TCTGAATCATGCATCCATTAGCAAAAATTGAAGTAGGCATCTTCCTTCAGAATGATTGTTTTTCATATTCAAAGATATAAGCAGATTTATGTTATTGCCTAAAACTCATACATTTAGTTGGCTTGGTATTCTGATAGCCTTTAATATTTTGGACATCTCTGGAGCAGGCAGATGTAATTGAAAAGATGGATCTGTTTCAATCCAGGGTAGCCAACACATTGATTTGAAGCTGTTTCTGGTTCTCTTCCTCTACCCTTGAAGCTGCAGAAATTTCCTTTCTCTTCCCACTTTCTTATTTCATATAATTGCTGAGGGCAAGAATCTTCAATGGTGCAGATTAGGTCATTAGTCTAGCGTTGCATGTTCATCTCTTTTTTTTTCCTTTTTAAAAGGGTTCTGCTGTTCACTGACATGAAATATCTTTTTCTGCCACTTTAGATGGGGAGTTAGGGAGGAAATCTACCCTCAGACAAAAATGCTACTCTTTAAGTAGCATGTGGAAGGCAGTAAATTCCAAATACATGTTATAGTATCTTTCTTTGGAGTGTATCACACAGGATGGATCCCGTGCAGAAACTGAATTTAAACTGTAAAAAGCCTACAAAAGGAGGTAGACGTTTCAGATGACGTTGGGGGTTAACATGAACAGAAAGTCGACAAAACCCACAAAAGTGGGTTGATTTTCACATGACATCAAGGTTAATGAGCATTAACAAAACATTAACCTGAACAGAAAATAGACAAAACCTGCTCCTTTTTACTTTCGGAAAATCCTGAAAATAGAAATGAGCAGGCTTTGATGACTTTCTGTTTGGGTTAATGTTGCGTTAATGCTTATTAATACAAATGTGTCTGAAAATCAACCCATTTTGTAGGGTTTTTTTTTCTGGATTTTTAAATCCCGTTTCTGCACAGGATTTTTGCACTTTGCCACCTGTGTGATAAACACCTTTGTTGTATCTTCCTTTCCCTTTGTTGAGGGTCTGGAAAAAAAAATTCAGATACATGGGTCAGAATCCTCTTGCATTGGTGAACCTCTGTTCTTCTAAATCTAAATCTTCATGGGAAACCCATGAAAACAGGTTTTTTAACCATTGATGAGGGCTGTAAGTGGAAAGAGGGTCACTACTACTGCTACTATATCTTACTACTAATATTTCTATCCCACCTTTTTTCCAGTTTGCAACAGTTAAAACAAAGGGAGCTAAAAATTCACAGCAAACTAACATTTAAAATTCAAAGATATAGTTGTATTAGTCTGTAGAATCAGTATGTAGACAGATCTTATAACACCTTTGAGGCTAACTGAAAGAAATTGGCAGCATGGGCTTTTGTAGACTTAAGTTTACGAATGCTCATGCTGCCAACTTCTTTCTTTCAGTTACTCTCAAATGTGCTACACGATCTCTACATACTAAAATTTAAAATGTAATTAAATTATCAATGAATTAAAACTTGTTAAATACATAAAACTATTAAAAAGAAAGTAGTTACTAGAGGATCCAACACATTACTGAAAGGCTGCCCCCTCCCCAATATCTTAATCAATAAGGTCTGCTGAAATGAAAAGGTCTTTCCCTGCTTGTGGAAGGAGAGTCAGGAGGCTGCCAGAAGGCATAGGATCCAAGTTAGAAACCAATTGGAACCTGGAGATGATAATTGATTGTCAGAATCAGGATCATTGCCTCTTGCTGAACGCTCAAGAGGGCAGCAATGAAACAGTTAAGGGTTGACTTTTGTGGAACATACAGTTCAAGTGGGACCCTATGCACCTGAGAACTCAACATGTGTCAACTTGACATCTTACTCTTGTAGGTTTGCTTGGGAACCGTTGCACAGTAAGAGATTCCATTCTGTCTGTTGGCTGCAAGTTCCAATGAGTTTGTAGCATAATTGACAATCTAGCCCTGAAAATGCTGAATGAAATGCTCCAACAAACTCAACAGGGTTACCTTTTGTTCTGAAATTCATCATTCCTCTGCATCACCATTTGCTGCTTAGGGCAGAAGTCCTATACACACAAGAATGAACCCTGTTGAGAACAATGAAAATTACCTCTGAATAGTCATGAATAGGAGCGCGGCAACTCAGTGGTTAAGATGGTGACTCTGACAATTGCAAGGTCAGCAGTTCAGCAGTTTGAGACCCAAGCACCATGTGACGCAGTGAGATCCCATCACTAGTCCCATCTTCTGCCAACCTAGCAGTTCAAAAGCATGTAAAAGTGCAAGTAGATAAATAGGTACCACTTTGGTGGAAAGGTAACACCATTCTGAGCAGTCATGCTGGCCACATGATCACAGAGTTATCTTTGACAACACTGGCTGTTCAGCTTACTAATGGAAATAATAATAATAATAATAATAATAATAATAATAATAATAAATACCCTGAACCTCTGTCAACCAATTGGGTTGGCTTACGTCCGTTAAAAATGAGCACCACCCCCCACAGTTGGACACAATTTGACAATCTTATCAAAGGAAAACTTTTAGACATGCACAGGATTGCATCAAAAGACCATTTCTGGAAGAGCCAAGTAAATGCATTCTTATGAGTTACATTTGTGTCTGAAAAACAGTTTTAGAGTTAAGCTACACACTTACATTATACACTTTGGAGGAAATGTATATAATACATTTGGGTATATGTCCCTACATGACCACAGAAGAAATTCAACCTAGATAATGAAGAAATCAAAATAATGAAAGAGTTATTGTAACTAGGATCAAACACTGATTAGAATGGTGACTGCAGTCAAGAAAGAAGACTAAAAATGGGAAGAGCAGCTATAAAGGAATTAGATAAGATCCTAAAGAGTAAAGATATACAAATAAGCACTAAAGTTAGAATTATCCAAGCCACTGTATTCCCCATTACCATGTACAGATGTGAGAGCGGGACAGTGAAAAAAGTGGATAGGAAGAAAATCAATTCATTTGAGATGTGCTGGAGGAGAGTGCTGAGCACACCATGGACAGCCCAAAAGACAAACAAATGGGTCCATGAACAGATCAAGTCAGAATGCTCCCCGGAAGCATTCTGGCCGTATCATGAGAAAGCATGACTCACTAGAAAATACAATAATACTAGGAAAGGTGGGGGGTACTAAGAAAGAGAAGAAGACCATACACCAGATGAATAAACTCAATGAGAGAAGTCATGGGCCTGAGTCTACAAAACGTAAGCAGATCAGTGGATGATAGGGTTCCTTGGAGATGTCTCATCCACAGGGTTGCCATGAATTGGGGCTGACTCGAGGGCAGTTAACAACAACATTGTGCAACTGCTGCATAACTCAATAAACATAAAGTTACATTCTATTTGTTATAGGATCTTGGTTCTCATTGGATTAAATTTCCATTCAGCTCAAGCCAATGGTGAAGGATGATAAGAATTAGAGTATAAAACAACTGGAGAGCCATATGTTCTGCACTCCTGGTTTCTTGGCCTCTCCCAAAAGAGTCTAGGAAAGCAGAAGGAACATAAGTTCC